TGCAATCAATAATTTTCCGCGTTCAATTAAGCCTGATGCTTTACCTATATAGATGTTATATATGATTTTCAGGCGTTTACGTTTTTATGGTAAAACAAATTTGCTTTCACTGGTCTAAAATTAGAGATATCCAGGACATGGAAGTCGTTAAGACATGTAAACTGGCGTGTGTTAACCAGCGAAAATCACTCATAATTACTCTGAAACGTGGAACGGGGACCCAGTCTTTCAATGTGTGCAAATTTTCTTTCGTGGGGGTCACTAGCGGAGTAACTAACGTATTAAATCAATCGCTTTCTTGACGTGGTAAAAATGTGCTATTATGCTACCTCGTATGTCATCGCAGTAAGGGAAATGCGAGACCTTTTCATAAACCTTGGGTGCCTGTTAGTAAAATAGAGTTTGCATCCAGAATGCCACCATTCTAAAATATTCATTATTCACATTCAAAGACAGTACACGCCTGGGTGCAGGTTAGAATATATTATTCAACAATACTCATACTCATCACTACTTCAGTACTTGGGCGAATCGCCAGTTAAAACTATAAATTAATATCCCAAATTCAATCATAGCTGGCATGTAAATGTAGTTAGCTAGAAACTCGGAGGTGCAAAAGAAGAGGTTTGTTTTGAAGAATCTAATGCTTTAGTTGGCCGCTAAACGCAGTCAGTTATGTCACTGTACTCCAATGAACCATGTTTCCCCTACGTATATGATTATTGTTTACATCAAGTTAAAACTTCCTTGATTCCATAGCTTTTCAGCTGCCTTCTATCACTCCAGTTAGCCCCTGTCGTTAAGAGGAAGAGAAGCTTTCTAAGACCTCTCTAATTTCCAGTCCGACGTTTAAATGTACTTTGAGCGACACAAAAGTTTGTTTTGTCCAATTTAAATGGTGACATTCAGCCATGGCGGAACAATCGAGACACGCCAAGGAGTATACCCGAAGTTCGCATCCTACGCAGGAGGTAACTGAGGTAAAAGTAAAATCTTTGGTTTTTTTACTGTCAAACAAGCAAATGCTCAGAGCTTCAATGATTTTTTGAATAACGTTGTTGCACTGAATGTTAGGAGAAATCCAATTAGATGGAACCGCCAGCCACTATGAGTTTTTTTACCGACTTTGACTCGACGCCTGTGGCTGTCTATATGACCTCTCTATATCCTTGCGGTATTTATCAGTAAAACGACGTTTTCAGTGTTTAGCTCTTAATTGTTTTTAACATTAACGTGAACAAAAACATTTTTTCATTAAATTGCTACTTTGTATTTAAAATAGACTCTATTGATGAAACTACTTTTAAAGCACTGGGTAAAAAAATTACCAACTTATTGAGATGTGTATTTCATTATACATAACGTCTTTTTCTCTCTTCTCAAGGATGAGCAGCATTTGTTAGTGAATGATATTGGACTTACCAACTTGGGACAAAATATCAAAGCAGCAAAATCGACTGTACCTCACAAGGTAAAGCCAAAACAAAGAGAAATAAACAATTGACGTATATCTGCATGCAGCATCTGGCTGTAAGAAAGTATTAACTATGATATTGTGCACTTTGCCAGAAATATATCCATGAACATAGTCTTCAAGACAGGCGACCTATCATTACTTATACAAATGTTTAAAGAGACAACAACAAGATTCAAGCACGTTTATTGTTCCATTTATCATCCAAAGACCTTTGTATTTTGTGGCGTTTGCACATTGTTTGTATTGAACAAAGATATATCAGAAGCGCCGAATGATAGTAGGCTTCAACATTCCATTAGAGGTAACGCGGTGTTATGAAAACGATGCATATAGATTAAAAATGGTTCTCCCACTTCATACCTGCTTTTATCGCCAGTTGTTAATGTTTAACCACTGCTAACAGATTCTGAGAACATCAGTAGAGTGCTAAATTCTGGGTGTCTTTGTGCTAAGAAAATCAGCTATTTCTAATGCTTGCCAGTACCAGTTGTACCCTGCCAGCAGAGTCGGATCAGAGTCGGATCCAAGCGACTCTGCTAGCAAGGTATAGCAGTTGCTACTCTAACGAGACATTTTGAAAGGCAGCTTTAAAGCGAATGGCACCTTTGCTCACTCATAAACAGTCCGCAAACAATTTTTGTTCACTCCTTCATTTTTCAACGGTTACATTGCGCCAGTTTCGGCGATCTGGTCAGGCCTGGGGTTACTTTTTCCCTCGGACTGAATAAGCTTATGCTACGATTCGAATTAAGGGATTTTGTCCTTTATGCTTCAGATTTTTGTGGCTGCTGTTACCATTGCTAAATGGACCATGATTCCTTTTTATTTGTCATTTGTTTTATTCATCAAAAGTCGGTTAAAACTTCCGAAGGAGAATCACTTTAGTCGTAGTGAAACTCTTTATCGGGAATGAAAGCCCTGCGAGCCAACACTGAGGATCGGTTTTTTGAACGAAATCTCTTTCTTAGTGGGTTAGTTAAAGAAAATAAGTGCCTTTGTAGTCTACTCCATATGTTTTCATGAAACTGTTCACGATAACAGTGCGTGCGGTTAGATAAAAGCGCTGGACAAAATGAAAATGTCTTAGAACGAGGTTTTGTTAAACTCTGTCTAAAATCCGTTAACATAAATAACTGGCCCTCAGAGACTTGGATCCTGAAACCGTGTCCTCGAGTGACGAGAAGTCAAGTAAAACCACAAACAAACAACTCTCGTCTGGTTCATTAAAAGTTAAGCAAGCAGCCAAATTACAGGGCTACAGTGATATATGTGGACAAATATCGTGGGTTCTTTTTCTTGTATGAGAGTCTGCCATTCAAAACAGTTTGAAGAGAGCTCTTACAGTCCGGAAGAGTTTGGGTAAATTTTAAATCTTTCTGTCAATTGAGAGATTAATTCCAAGTCTTCATTTTCATCGAAAGAAGTGTTCTGTTAGGAAGAAATAAGGATTGATTTTGTCTTTACAGAATCTTTCAAAACTGAATTTTTTTAAAAAAAATAAACGTTCAAAGTCGAACTTGGGCTACCGAGTTATCATGAAGAAAATATTATTCCAGAATGTATTCAAAATTTATAGTTATGAGACTTTGTTCTGATTTAATTATAACTCTTATAAAGTGTTCAATAACTCTGAATAACTTCTAGTACATTAAGACAAAATAACTTTCCTTCGTGATTAGCTGAAAGGAAGTCTAACGAACCATAATTCCTATACGTAATGATTGCTTACAATATAAGACAGGAACTTCATTCAAAACTTCCTTCTCTGATCCTTCGGACGTTAAACTTCACCGTTTGAGTAGAGAGTACAGGGTCTGGAAGGGGTGTCGCGTGATCCGTGAACTGACCGTTAAAGGGACAGTGTCCCGATTTCTTCAAAAGACAATGAATTGTCATATTGACTCGACAAAAATTATACTATGATTTCATGGCACTAGTTTTTCTAAACATCTAGGGCCTGTTTGTTTGATTCTGTCGGCCGTAGGGAGGTTCATTTAAAAGTTCACTAACGCGTCGTTGCAAAACATTCTGCTTCACGAAGCTTAATTCCACAAGATCTCCTCAGTCACATCAACGTCTCAATGGTTTCTTTCTGACACTCTTTATTGTTGCTGTTTCATTTCTGTGTATTCCATTCACAATTATCTGAGCTCGTATGGAAGCTAGTAGAAGAAATAAGCCTTCAATCGGCATCAAAGCGCTTCCCATCTTTTGGTCTTTCAGCAAACGGCAATAAAAGTAACGCCAAAAAATCCCGATTTCGCCCAAATCGAAGCTTAACGGGAACAATATATCATTGATCTGTAATCCAGAGAAGTTTTAGTATAGTATTGAACTCGGCCAAGCGCGATGCAAACGGATTTTTCAAGGTTCTCTTACTGTCCTCGCATGTTTTGATTTCGCGACAGTTTGGTGCATGCGCAGTAACGGGATACTGAATCGGGAAAACTCATGAAATACAGTCGTTATTCGTGAATTATATATTCACAGTGACGCGTGATCCTCTAAAATTGTAGTCTGTGAATCGAGATTTCTACCGATAAGACAGATGTAAGTGTCGTGACAAGGGTTCGAAGTTTAACCATGTAAGAGTAAAAAAATTGTAAAGCTTCGATTTTATAGCAATAAAATTCATTGCCAGTCAGCTTTGTAGTGGTAAAACAAAAAGCAAAGAATCGCCAGTTTGATCAACATACTTTTTGTTTCCTTCCCATCACGAGGTCATTAAAACCAACTCTTGCCTATAATAGTCCAGAAACCAATAAGAATCGATGATGGACTTGATAAGTTCGTCACCTAATCACGTGATTCGTGAAAAGGTAACGTGACTCGTGAATGTACGGACATTTAACTCGTGATTCGTGATCCAAACCACCTCTTCCAGACCCTGATAGTACTGTGGGCCTGTAACGATAAAAGGAATCCTTTTTTGGTTACTGTTTCTCTTCATAATTCTTTCTTTTTTTTAATGAACTTAGTTTCAGAGGTAGAAAAGTTTGCCTTGGCTAGTCAGTAAAATGAGTAAATGTTGTCATTTAGCCATGCATCACAGAATCACAACGCTTCAAGGAGCTTGCTTCGCAAGTCGTACGAAGTAATCCCATCTACAAAGGGTGAAGCTCAAATAAAGTAAACTTTTGACTCACTTAACTGTTCAATTAACTGTTTTATACAAGAAAACAGGACTACAATGATTTTCTTAGTTTAGTTCAGTGTTGCCCTTATTTATATGAAGGGACTAAAGCTAAAGCTGTATCGATATCCAAGCGTCATGCTTCTGCTCACACACTGGACATTTATCCCTAAAACAGGCCGAATCTTCACCATGGGTATACGGAACCTTTAAGAAGAAAAGGTGCAGTCGCTATATTCCTTGTAAAAAGAAACCAGACCGGTGAGTAATTAATGATAAAAAACGATACTTTGTAGATTCTATAGTTGTTTACAAGAATTACACATGAGTGTTGCCAAAGAACAACAAATGGACCAAGAAAACAGACTTTCATGATATGGGCTGCCTCATTTATGTATCAGTGGATTACTCTGAATCAGGAATAACTCTTGGGAATAGCCAAATTCAGAAAAAACAATTGATATTATGCAACGATTGATATAAATTGTCCGCATGCCATGGTGTTTTTTCCACCGGGATTAAAAAGCTACGTACCAAATAAAAAGAACTATTAATAATACACGGTACGATGTGAAAGTAGTGCTGAAAAGGTTTGGTTTGAATAACTGAGACTCAAAAGTTAGAACCGTGTGTACTAAATAAATTATAGTACATTGTGGAATTACTTCTCAAAAGATTTCATTTAAGTGGTACCATAGCATTATGACCAATATTCATGTCCGTAAATATACTGAAAGAGAATAGGCGAAACATTTGACTTCTAAATGTTAAAAACAAGTTAAGCAGGCTAGAAGAAACTGAAACATAATCAGCAAAAATGACATCATGATTTAACGATGATAATTTTTTTTATATTTTTAGTTGCGGTTGTGGTCGTTCAAAGGTCTCCCATGGTAACGAAATAACAGGTGGACCAACGAATAGATTAACAGAACCTGGACAGGCAAGTAGAACTGAGTCAAATGTCGCTTGTATGAGGGTACCAGTCTCTCTTCTCCGCAGTGGTTACCGCAGTAAAAATATAAGCGCGGAGGGAGGTGGGGAGGGGGTGGGGGGAAGAGAGCTCTCCTTCCCCTTCCCATCGTCCCTTACGCGATTTCTTTTTCCCTCTCCCCAGCCTCGCCGTGACACAAACAGGACTATACGGAGGAGAGAGGGCCACGAGTTCAATTTTTGCAATTGTTTGGGTGTATAGTATTAGTTCTGATGTGTTTCATGGTTGTTCTAACAATCAATCAGGAAACTAGCGCCATTGAATGGAAAGTATCCGAGCACACAGAAATAGACGGACCGACGGATGCTTTCGGCCAACTTGAATTTACAGGAGCTGGACAAGCAAGTAGAGCTAAGGTAAGCTTAGACTTAATTCCATGTCTATCACGCTAACACAAGGCAAATATAAATATGGAGGCTGTTTTTATTTCTCATTATGTACACTGATCATTGGCGGATTTTGGACTTAAATTTATACCCTACCGTAGTAAAATGGAGGATAAGTTGTACACTTTAGGGTTTGGGCTCGACAGAGATTAGGGAGCTTAAGCATGAACATTTTGACCGAGCTACGGACGTCATTGTTCCTACACTTCTTCCTCTTCGTCTGCTTTAGTATTTACGTCAATACAAGATTTGTCCGTGACATTTTACCGTTGAACCCGATAAATATGGACGACACCATGGTATTTCCCCTTGGCCGTCCGTATTAACCAGGTTCCCGCGTGACTGTTTTTGAGGACGATCCGATATGTTTTTGTGACTGCAATTGTAACTCTGTAAAGCTTCAACAAACTCGCTTCAGATTGATGAAATCTTATGTTCGCTAGTTCTTATCATGGTTTTGTTTTTTTTTTGGGTAGTTCATTCGCATTTCTGATGACACTGATCCTGAGGATATTCTGCGCCTTTTACAAGGGGAATGGAAGTTAGAATCACCCAAACTTGTCATCTCTGTTACTGGTGGAGCAAAAAACTTTGTCATGCATCCAAAATTAAAGGATTTGTTTCGACAGGGATTGTTGAAGGTGCTTAATTGTGTAAAGTAAATCATCAATACACATAATCATTGCTGGAAATGTCATGATAAAATAGTGTTTAGATTCAGACTGCTATTCAAGTCTGAAAGTAAGACAATGTTTACACTATGGCGGATAGCTTTACCTGACGCCACGAAAAGCTTTCCAGTATAGTGTGAACATATCCTTAATTAGTAAAATCCAGCAAGTGGTCTATTATCAGTGCTGCGTTCTGATTGGTTGAGCTACTACTGGGCTATATGTTATAGCCTACTAGTAGCGAAAAGGGCCGGATTTTTGGCGGCAAAAAAGGATTAATGTCTTGCTTTAAGTTGTTTTGTCTCGATATTTTTGACCAACTAGTTGGATTTTACTAAGACAATTATTCCTCTCGCCCCCATGGCCTCTGAGTCAATAGTCCATTCGACCTTCGGCCTCATGGGCTATTGACTCAGAGCCCATTCGGGCTCAAGGAATAATTGTTAAAGATATCAGTCCGAAGGGTGCCCGAACATAAAAAAGAGAAAATTTAAGAAGAAGGAGAAGAGGCTTCTTTTCTAAACTACTACAAATTGACCTCTAAAATATTACAAAAAGAAATAAAAGGAAAAGGATCACTAAAGAGGACTTCGTTTGAATGAGCCATAATGAGCCATAAGATTTCATCTTAAGACTCAAAAGTTATAACTTAACGTGCTAAACAAATAGTACCAGACTGCAAAATTATAACTAGAAATACATACTGGATAAATAGTACTATGTGTAAGTACTACTAAAGAAGTATCATTTGAATGGTCAATGCACTGGATCTGGTCTGCAGACTCAAACGTTAGAGCTACATACTAAGTGAATAGCACCATATGAAAGTACCTGCTAAAGAAGTTGCATTTGAATGGTCACCCCATAGGATTTCATTTACATAGTCAAAAGTTTACCCTGGGTGCCAGAGGCTTTTCATGCGCGGTTTTCGGTTTCGGTCAAGTCTTAAAAAGTGACCCGCGGGTGACCCTTCGCCGCTCGTGTCAGTTCGGCCTTCGGCCGAACACAAGTCGGCCTATGCGACCGACAAAACGAAGCTCCCTGTCGCACGCGAGAAAAAACCTCTGGTACCCAGGGTATCAAAAGTTAGAACTTCATACTAAATAACTAGTACCACGTGAAAGTACTGCTGAAGAGGTTTCATTTGAATGGTCACACCATAAGATTTTATCCACAGACTCAAAACCTAGATCTACAGTCCAAGTTAATACAAACTTGAATGATATATGAATTTTATAAAATTGAACTGCTAAACTACGGGGTGAAGAAATGAATGAAGAAATCATCACAGTAAATACGCAACTTAGGGAAATTTCATTTAATATGACAAGGGGGGCGGGGGGGATGAAGATATTGAGGGGGGCTCCGAAAATTTTTAGACACCCGAAGGGGGGGCTCTGAAAAAATTGTTGCGCTAGGAGGGGGGGGCTCCGAAAATTTGTATACTTCAAAACCAACACATGACATCATCATACAGATCGGATGGTTTTCAACTCAACAATTTAATGACCTGTGCAACTCAGCTATATCACGTGGTTTACAGATATAACAAATGTAATCTCAGTAATTATTACACTCTTGTTCATCCTAAAAATGCTTTAGAAAATTTTATCACAACTGTATCTCAAGTTTGTCATAGTATAAACCATTGAAGACAATAACGGTAAATATATTTGATACAGTCTAGCGATCTTTTTTCAGGGGAGCAAAGGAATTGAAGGAGGAGGGGGAGGGGGGGGCTCTGGAATTTTTTCGACTACCAAGGAGGGGGCTCCTAAAAAATTGAACCGCTAGCGAGGGGGGCTGCTAAAATTTCAAGCTTCGAGTTTCAATATCTTCATCCCCCCCTTACCCTTGTCATATTAAATGAACTTTCCCTTACTATGTAGTTGCGAAAAGAAAGCATAATTAAATTCAGGCTTGACCTTAAGTAGTCTTCTCTTCATATATTTCTTTACCAGGCAGTTGAATTATGGGAAACTTAATATTTTTATCATATAACTAGCTCCTAGTTGGTTTGATAGCTTAATTGGTTAGAGTACTGCACCGGTAACGCATCCCGGGTTCCAATCCCGGCAAGCCTGAACTTTTTCACCGTTTCTTCTGTGATGATCTTCTCTGAATTAATTTAATATACTCGAACTTCCCCTAGCCTTTTCCAGGCTCTCCGTTAGTGGGGATGACGGATAAGTAAAAGGCAAGCGAAATTGTGAGCGCGTAATCTGGGAAAAGGGGGCGGTGGCTGAAAAAAGGAATGGAGAGAGAGGAAGGGAGACGACCTTCTTTTCTCAACTTTCCTCCCGTTTTATTTTCGTGTTTGCGCTTTCTCAATTTCTTGGCCCCGACTAACCCAGCGCCTGGAACAAGTTAAACCTCCCCGAGCAACCATTCAAAATTAGAGGATTTCTTGGTCTCTTATGAAAAAGGCAGAGAATCTATCGGAAACAATTTACTTTTCAAAGTTGTCACAGAAAGTTCTTCGTGTACTCTGGGTAGCGTAGTATCTACAGTGGACAAAAAAACGCCGCAACATTCATCAAGTGGTCGCTTACAAGAGGTGAAAAACAATAGAAAACTATAAGACTGTCAGACCAAAGAGTGGTCGAGGAGGCTTATAGGAGGTGATCGTTTACGAGAGTTCTAACTATAGAGCTTTCACGCGGGGAAAATTTCGGTGTTTTGACTTCGAATACATGTACACAAAGTAAAGAAAAATAAGCGTAGAAAGGCTGCATCCATATTAATAACTTCCTAAACTTAACTGTTAACCTCTCTTCAAAATTTTTTGCACAGGCAGCCACGACCACTGGTGCATGGATTATAACAGGGGGAATAAACACTGGCGTAATGCGTCACGTAGGAGAGGCAGTAAAGGGTCATACTGTAATGTCACGAGGGGCAATGCTCACAGATAAAACGCCTCAGGTGCACTTGATCGGAATCGTTCCATGGGGCATTGTGGAGCACAGGTCTGAGTTGACTGGAACGGTAAGAAGCATTTTAAAAGGCACTTAGTAGCGCACACGAGGAAGATATTATGTTCGCCTGTCTCTTGAGCGTGGAACAACAACAACAAGTAGTCTTTAAATAGGAAACAGACTTTACAATAGTGAGAGGCCCTGTGAAAGAAAAAAAAAGTTAAATAAATAAATAAATAATGGTAATAAAAGAAACAACTGGGAAACTAAAAACATAAATTGAAGCTAGCTGGTCTAAACTATCCTGAATTTCCGACAGGTCCAAGAATAATAAAGTGGAAGTATGCATGACCGCGTTGGAAAACTATTTCAAACTTTAAGGCAACCTTTTCTTAGGAACGGTATGTCTTTAACTCTTATGAGCAAAGCTAACGAGAGTCAGTTGACAGCTATTTCAAAGCCAAGGGTTCCAAGAAGCAGCCACATGGCAGCAAAAACAAACAAGAAGAGAAACGTTTCCCTACCTGGAATTAAGACGACTGGCAAAGAGAGGTACAAAAATTGTGGTACCCAACGCAAACGAAACGAATCCCCGGAATACAACCGAAAACACGGTCACAAATAGAATCATTTTGAAGCGTGTGTATGGCCAAGAAGAAAGATGAGGTTAATCCGAGTTAAACACTTACAAGAAAGCCACGACAGCTCAGTTTCTCAAACTCTCATTTCGTATATAGAGTCCTGTGTTTATCGATTGCTTGCAGGCTTAGCTTTTTTTGTGAACACAATAAGCTGGAAACCATGTTTCAATGTCAGCTAGACTCAGGAGCGACTTGTAATGTACTCAACTTTATACAATGATGTGAATGCTACGCGCGCTGTGATTGGTCGTTGCCCATGATCTATCAGAGTGCAGATACATATAGATGACGTCACGGGAAAGTTTGTTCAACATGGGGCGCCATTTTGAAAATGTTCGTGAGATTATTTCGGATTAAAGCAAGCGAAAGCCTCGAAAAAAGATGAGCAGGAGCTATTTACAAAGAAGAAAAATGGAGAAACGGGGACAAAAAGAGCTCTTGAGTACTTAAAAATCCCCAAAACTACAAGAAATCTTCACAACAGTTGCCATCGTGTGTCATAGCTGCGAGAGACTCGCTGTTTTGCAAAATGTTTTCGCCATTATTCTGTGTTTTGAGCAAGAAAAGAAGTTGAAAACTGAACTTTTCGAAGAAACTGTATACAAGTAAGATAAAGAAAAAAAGAAGAAGCAGAGACGAAAAGTAGCGCTTGGGACTTAAAAAATGCCTAAACTAGCACAAATCCTCGAACAGTCAAGCGGTACGAGGCAGGTATGTGTATCGGTCTATTTTCTTTTCTGATCATTGTATAGATCGTAGAGGACGTCAAAATGTGGTAAAAACATCAGTGACACACTCGCCTGCGGCTCGTGTGCCACTTCTTTGTTTTTACCACATTTTGACGTCATCTGCGATTTATTACTGAACAGACGCACGGCAACATGGAATCTATTTGTTAAATAGAGACTTTTCGATTATCAAGCAAGAAAGCAACCCTCCCATGGAAAGAGGCAAAACCTAGCTTAAGCTATTTCACGGCTGCCTGACGCCTGTTGTCGAAGTTCTTCTGCAAGTCTCACGTGGTGGAAGCTCGCATTTTCCGAAGTTTCAAGTCTCTAGCGAAACAAATAAGACTTAACTGTCATCTGCAGAAACCTTTCAAAAGTTGGAACTTCTCAAGTTACCATCTCAGGCTGAAGTTCTTGTCGTGTATGACAAAACAGCTCTCTTGACAGTTTAAAGTATACGGCTAAAAGATTATTGGCGATGTCTTCAAAGGTCTTGGACATATCGGTTCAGGTTCAGCTTTGTACTTAATCTCTCAACAGTTCTAGCACGGCAAAGCTCTAGATGTAGCCCTAAAGAATGAATGAAAGCAAAGCTGACAGATCTAGAAAGAAACCCAAAAGTATAGAATGGATCAGTAATGTGGTAGTGGCAACCAAGCCCGGTAAAATCCGAATATGCTTAGACCCTCAAGAACTGAACAAGGTAATTCAGCGTCCTAAATACCTAATTCCTACACTTGAGGAACTGTTACCTATTGTAAGCTGTCCAAAGACAGAATCTTCAGAACGCAAAACGAGAAAGATGGCTTTTACCAAATCAGTCTTTACGAAGCCATCAGCAAATTAACAAAGTTTTGGATGCAATTTTCCGCTATCGCTATCTCCGCATGCCCTTTGGAAGCCTTGCTCCAGAATATTTTAGAAAGTAACCTACAAAAGAAAAGTTCAGAGACAACATCATAGTTATGGTATTTGGCGAAAGGGAAGAGCAAGCAGTCCTTAAACCAGATCCTGATAAAGTGAAAGTTGTAGAGGAAATGCCCCAGCCAAAGTGCCAGCAGGAAGCTCTAATTCTCCTTGGTTTCATCAATTAACTCTCATGGTTTCTTAGACTTGCATAAGTATAGCACAGCCTCTAAGATTTAACAACTAAAGACGACACGTTCACATGGTCTTAATAGCATAAAGCAGCTTTCCAGAAAATTAAAAAGCTTGTAGTGAACCACCCCATACTCGAGTACTAATTGCAATGAAGATGTCATCTTCCAGTGCAGTGCCAGTGAAAGAGGTTTAGGCCCAGCTCTTCCATAGGCCGGTCAGCCGGTAGCGTTTGCTTCAAAGAAGTACACATCAACATAAGGAAGATACGCTTAAAGAAAAAGAGTGCCTTGCAATCGAGTTGCCAATTGCAGAGTCGTTGTTAAATTAAACCCATTGCGTTTTGACGTTCTCGTTGCCGTGGCAGCCGTCACATCTTAACTCCCAAATAAAAGTGGATAGCGTTCTTAAAACAGTCCCACAATGCAATTCGGGAGAAAACCAACCATAAAGGCTCAAGCCCCCACTTCAAAATGGCTAATCAGACTCTCTTGCCTCGAAACTATCCATATAGTTGACAAGAATAGTGCATACCACTATTCGTAGGCGACCACTTTGCAAATAACCTCATTCTCGCGCAGTCAAATACCGTTTAAGGTAATTCCCTTGTTTGGCACTGCGTACACACTACTGCGCATAATTTTGCGACTTCCAACATGACGGCGGTTCTTCTCGCTAGCACAAAAAGAGCAAAGCAAACAGGAACCGCATTTACAGAGCTTAAACTTTTATTCGCAATAATAATGCTGCAGATCGGCAGACAGCTTCCTGGTCTGCTATCGAAAAACAAGAAAATGAAAAAAATGTGCGTGATCCCGAAGTCTGCAGTGGCTTTTCACTTCGCGGCCGTCGAGTTGTGGAATTAAAGTATAAATATCCTGGCTGAGGCTTTGGATGGGGGCTGTAAAGCCTGTGGGGCAGCTATACGGCTCTCCAACAGCATTAACTAGACTGTGTCTGGCCTAGGATTGCTACTGTACATATGTTGTTCGGACTCCGAGAGTGGAGAGACGAATGTATTTGTCGAACAAATGAGAACCACCGGTAGCACCGGAACCACACGTCTTTGACGAAGTTTGCTGCTGAATTCACATTTTGCTGTATATACAAACCAAACAAGAGAACATATGGAGAATAGGAATTAGTTGTCTTTTCTTCAGGATTATTGCGTAAAAGAAAAAACAAAACGGACTCTATCTCACTGGAACACAGAACACCAGCGCTACAATATAGTCCAAAATAAAAATTCATAACCCCAAAATCTCACAAAACCTTGATTTACCTCATTCCTTGGTATTTGTTGTACTCCTTCTGTGTTGGCGATATCGAACCGATAAAAAGAATCGAAAACAAGCTGGATCTCGAGTGCATACTTCGAATACGATGGGCGCTATTTTGTATCTCGTCCCAGTCCGCGCCGCGCAAATTCTATATCCTGACTACGATCTCTAAACCATGTCCACCTTTCACGGCAGTTTGTGAGGAAACAAGCACCGTGACCCCCGACTTTCTTTTCAGTTATTTGCTAAGAACAGTCTACTAAAGAACATATTTGAAAAACAAAAAAAGTTTGATTGTAGAACATGACTTTTTGGGGGAAAATGGTTCCGTACTTGGTGTATTTGGGCCAAGGCGAGGACTTCAAGCTAACCACGGAACTTTCCCGAAAAAGTGCAATATCTCCACAGCTATGCAATAAAAAACGGCTTAAATCAAGCAATCCCGCTTATTTGAATAAAAGAAGCTTTATTTTCAAGATAAAATTTCGTGTGTTTCAAGTAACAAAGACTTAATTCTGTATGAAGGTGATTCGAATTTTTAACACGCAACCGATAAAAATAACCCAGTTTAAGAGCCTGCTGGCGCGTAAACAAGCACGGTGACTCCATATTTTTATTGCATTTTTTTACTGTTCATGTCATGAATGTTGATTATGCGAAGTTTCAAAAAAAAGGTTGATAGTAGAGCAATTTCACTCCCCAAATTTCATAAGCAAACGGTTTCCCTGTTTTCTGGAGGGAATCCTGTTTTTCACTTAGATATATAAAATTGTAATTGTAATTATACTAGAAATTAGTGTGGAGTTGTTTATCAAAATTAGTGAACACCTACACGAACAAAACTCGCAGATTCAAGCCAATAATAAATAAGCAACTGGTATGTTATGCCCGATTTATATGTTTCTCTTAAGAGAGCTTGATACATTTCCTTCAATTCAAGTAGTTAATAAAGAGTGGCTGCTCAGTTTATAAAGCAGTAGATAATAAACTCTTAATGACTGGTTCGAGAGAAACAGTTAATTTGTTTCCCCAGTATCCGCCTCGAGAAACATCGAGATTCGAGGGAAACAAAATTAACTGTTTCCCAAGGGAGAAGTCTTTAAGTGATTTGTTATACAGCAGGAAATCCTCGCTGTAACAACGGTCGACAATCGCGGGTAACAGTGCACTGTTACCCACTGACGTCATAGATTTTTGGCGGGTAACAGTTTCATTGTTGGATGTCATGTGACCTCGAAGTAACCAATGAGAGCGCGCACTGTTGGGGAAACATTTCCAGTTATATAACAATTATAATTAGTGGATTCATTTCGTTTGTGGCGTGTTTTCTTGCTTTTCTGGCAAATGACCATCTCCCTTCAGCGAACACTTTCTCCCGAACCAAAGGTGGTGGGTCAACAGAGAGTTGACAGTACACTCATTATCTTTTTAAACACAGGATCTTGTTACATATCACATGACGTCAAGCTTAGAGATCCAGGGATCGTGTATCGACAACAATCATTCACACTTCTTGCTTGTGGACGATGGCACTGAAGGAGAATACGGAGGAGAGATCGCATTCCGTGCAAGGTTTCAAAACTGCTTGGCAAATAAAGAGATTTCCAAAAGTAATTATCTAAAAGGTTCAGTTTTTTTCTAATAGTCTTTAACGTAATCGAAGTGGAACGTCACCCCAAAACAGTCGTTTGGATAGGTTTTATATAATGCCTGGTGGTCGTTTTCCTTTAGTTCAATATACTGCTCTCTCACAAGCCCATGTAAGCAATTGAGAGCTTCTACCGCGTACATGAATTTGAGATTCATTTTGGGGTTATTGTTTCTAACTTTCGCCCCCTCAATGAGAACGAGACTCAATCCCTCTTTCAAACGTCTGTCAAGAATTCCTGTATGCTGCAAAGGCCCACGTCACTTGTTGCCAGCTGCCGAGATGGTTTCCTTCCTCTCATATTACAGGGATTGTGAATACATTGTTATAAACGTCTACGTTGCTGATGGATAACTAATAAGATAGAGCTGCATTTGGAAGAGCTGCGCCAATGATACGCGAATTTTGCAGAAGAAAGGGGAAAGGCCTGAAGTTAGCGACTACTACTACTACCATTACCACTTTCTTTTTTTTATTTTCGCTTTTTTAGAAGAATAACTACGTCCTTTTTCTTTTTAAAACTGCAGGATACAACAATTTAGATGAAAATTCTCAGAACGACAGGCCAAATGGTATTCCTGTGGTATTGCTTGTCCTTGAGGGAGGTCTGAACACTATTAGCACAATGTTAGAGTCAGTGACAAGCACTCCTGCCGTGCCTGTCGTCATTGTGGATGGTAGCGGCAGAGCTGCTGATATTTTAGCTTATGCTTACTCACTGTTTATTGAATATGAAGGGTTCGTATTCGTTCTCATAATGTTTTTCTTTTTATGTCTATAAGGTATGGCAGTTGCGTTAACCGGTCATTGTTGGACTGTACATTTACTCAAACCAAATTTTTGTGTTATCAAAATTTTTCTTAAGCTTGGATATACCTTGAAATCATGCCACTAAAGATTTGGTGGCAGTCATGTTTTCAGAATCTTAACACTATGAGTTTCTTTGAGGGAGGAATCATCTAAAAGCTCTTGCAAAAAGGCAAAACACATTTTAACACTTTACATGGTTTTGCTATGTTCACAGGTTTGATATGAAGCACTTTCTTCAGGTTGCAGAGCACGAAATACTTGAAATGAGAATTAAAAAAGCCTTCCCTGGTCTCTCTGAAACGGAATTGTCTAAGTGTTACTCCAATGTACTTGAATGTGTGAAGAAAAGTCCGTATGTAAGTTGAGAAAACGAGCAATTCAATTTTTTTTTTGCCTTTTTTGTGCATCTCATACAAATGTAATGATTTGTGCTGGGTATTTCAGCCCAGATTTGTGTTACGGTTATTAAACTTTTTCAGAGAAAGTTGACGTTTGAGAGAAAAGTATAAAAAGAAGAAGTCCCACTTAGTTAATTAGCTGTTCAACGTCCTTCCTACAGATCACAATATGCCATATGGACGACGATGGTATCGACATCGACAAGTCGATTTTAAAAGCTATTTTGAAAGGTTTGAAAGCACTTTTTTAAGCAGTTATTTACAGTGTATGGCAGTAGGCAGGCTATTCCATTTTCAGATATACGGGAATACCAATGGCATTAAATGCTGTTGTCTATAATCATCTTAGATGCAATGTATTCTGATAAGTGTAGACTGATGTGTTGTTATTTAAATACATAACAAAGGGGAACAAGTTATAAAATCCGCAGCGCCGCTTATCGCCAGCGAAAAGTCGTTAATTTTGTAAATTTCGTAGCAGAGTTCAATCCTGGACATAAGTGAGACGTTTGCCCTATCATTTTCTTCGTGGTCATTAGCTAGATAAGGTAACAAATAAACCCCTGAAAAAAGATTAATTCGCTGTCCTACAGTTATTTCAGTGTTGAAAGAAAAAAATAGATGAGGCTATAATACGCACGTTTGCATTTGCAGCACAAATTGCTTTGCCTTCATACCAGCTTGATTTGGCCTTGACGTGGAACCGAGCTGATATTGCTAGAACTGAGATCTTTACCAAAGGCCGAAAGTGGAAGGTATGGGTGTAATCGTGCAAGTTGACAGTTGTTGCATTACATTTTTGTACTTGACCAGGTGAGCGCTCAGTAATTATAATTGATAGGGAACCGAAAAGCACAGTGGGAGGCTTAGATACAAATGTAAGCTCGGTAATTAAAGTTTATTTTGTAGTTGACAAGGACCGGAGGAATTAAGCGTTAGACTTGTCTCCTTGAAAATTAAAACACGAAATGCAAGTTAATCTTACAGCTAAAATAGCGTACTTTTTGCCCAAAATTTCGGTCAGTCAGAACTGAATTATAATCAGAGCTGCGAAATGCTGATGAAGGTTAGTTTTGTCACGAGTCCAATCTGAGTATCGAGAAGTAAAATTAATCCCTCTTTAGCTGATCCCCAGGAAGAGAAGGAACATTTCTCTTGGTGGTGACAGTAACTTTCAAGCAGAGCAAATAAAGAAAAGTTACAAACACCTGTACAAATGTAAGAAAATAGCGGAAAACTATTAATAGACTTCAATAACCGTCTTTCAGGGAAAGCTCTACAGTCCAAATTAAACCAAAGAATGGCGGCCGCTAGCGCTCTTCCTAAAGATAATAACCTCGCCGCTTTCAGAGCAACAGTGCAATCTACAGTTTTCCTTGTCAAGGGGCACAGAGTGCAGGTTTGCGGTAAACCTGTAGTGAAGCGGAGAGCAATTCAAAGCTCTTGGCATTTATGCACCTACGTTGTAAAACAAATTAGGCCACTTTCAGTCTGTAAATAAACAGGCAAGGGATTTAAAATGACCTAGAACAATTACAAATTGGCAATATACGTTCTTCCGCGTAAGATTTAGTTAAGTTCTTGTTTTGGCAATGTCAAACATAAAGATGGGCTCTTACCACTCGTTTTATCAGTGAACTGATATCCATACCATTTTTTAAAGAGAATTATTCTTTAACTTTGTTTTCGTCGAAAGGTGTCTGAATTAAGTCCCTCCGGAATTTGAGCTAGATTAGTTACATCTGGAACATCACAATGGCAGCGTTTCAGTCATGTGGAACCTTATATTAACAAATATCATTTTTCATCAAACCGTTCAATTCAAAGAAACGAGGGTTCTAGAGCCAATCTTTTTATTTTTTGAAAAATTTTGCTAACTAAATCATCAGCATCTTTTTTTTTTTTGGTTTTGAATAATCATAAGGCAAAAAGATGTTTTTCATGGTTATTATTTGAGGTTTGAACCGCAACCTGCGACCTCGGCTCGGCAGGCCGTCCCTTAGCTTGTCCAGTTACGACAGTTAAGTTAACAGGGCGGCTGGGAAAATTTAGCGCAGTGATATATTTACTCCTATGTTGATAGCCCAACCGAAAAAACAAAACATATATACAAAATTATTGTTGCTTCGCAAATGCAAAGTACTCTCCATGACGTCTCCAACAGTGGCCTGTTATTTATCTGGCACTCGACAAGTTTGTTTTGACAAATACTTGCTCCGATAGCCGGACAAATTGTTAAATGCTAAAGATCCATCTTCAGACTAATTCACTAAAATGGAAGCCCAGTCTTTCGGCGTGTGGAATACAAGTGACGTCCAGTTTTTGATGGAACATAGTTAAACCATATCGATCTCTTAGTTAAATTAAGGTTGCATTCTAGTTTATCTTGATCATTTGTTTTGTGCTGGCTTATCCAACAGATGGAGACCTTGGAAGATAAGATGGAGGACGCTTTAATCAGCAATCGTGTGGAATTTGTAGATCTTCTTTTAGAAAAAGGTGTCAGTATGAGGAAGTTGCTGACTACAGATCGGTTAAATAACCTTTTCAAGGCAGTGACCGTAAGTACAACACATGATGACGTAAGACCAACTTAGATATTCGTACATCATATAAGACTAGACTGTATAGCAATCGGTTTATTTCTCTTCATTAATTCCAAATCATTGCTGTTCAGGTACGAAGCGCGAGAACAAAGCGCCCAAATGGCATATCACTTTCCCGTTTTGACGTTACTATTGGCCATTGCTTATGTTAGTCGTACAGGGATGGGTTGGTGGTTGCCACAAAAGGAAGTGCAATCGAGAAAACTTGGGGAAAGAAGCGTTTGAATCTACTTTCGGAAACGCTCTAACACAACACTTCAATACAGCCGTACTATTAATTGGTCATGAAGGAAAGTACTCAGTCCGTTCTCGTCAAATGCCAAACCCTTCAAGTGGCTGTGCAGCCGTCTCGTGACATATTGAAACTGATATTATACACCACTAATGACTTAATTAGAAAAAATACTCCTAAGGGCCTTGAAACTCATAAACCTAGTAGTCTCAGCTGGTAGTCTAAACGGAAGTCCACGTAATGAAGTAGATGCTACTTTTTCCTTAGAGGCGTGATCAACGGCCACTTGCCATCAACTAGAGGCTATATCTATTGTAGAAAATCATATCGAGTCGCTAAAAATCTCATTAGCTTGAGAAAGGGTAAAGGATCCTTCACTGTTGCTGCCATTCGGTTAACGGAAATAAAGACAAAAGTTTTGACTACTGACTACTGAGGAAGACCAAGAGCCTTTCTATTTTTTCACCCTCCCCTGCTGGAGTTGTTATGCTAACGTCCCTTTCAATTTCATCCTGCTTGTATGTAGAGCTGCGACGGAGCCGCTATCCGGTCGAGGAGCCATTACTCGTCTTAACTTAGTAGGGACCTTACAAAACTACGACGGCGACGGCGAGGTCAAATTGCAATAGGTTTAGTTAGCGAACCATCAACTCTGCACGTGCATCACGCTTTTTTGTACATTTCTTTGCCGTCCCTGCACGACTACGACGTGAAATGACCAAATTTTAAGTTGTTTTGAGGACGGGACAGGCAAGGCGATAAATTCTACCATCCCTGTTTGAACTTGGGGGCGGCCTAGTCTCTTCAGCTCCAACATAAATTCCCTTCTTTTAAGTAACTGGGCGACTTGGGATAATCTTGAAATGGTTTGAAAGGATGTGGAGTCTATTTTTCAGTTTTCGTGGACGTCGCCGTTGCCTGATCGTAAGGTCCCTTGTTTCACCGCTGTACCGTGGTCCTTATCTTGAGGAGAGAAGACATGTTAGCAATTATAGAGCAACTCCCTAGCTATTAGCTCTAGCTTTGTCAGGAGGACTATCACTATCCACCTTACAAAGCTCAAAAGAAACAACACTAAAACGGGCTTAAACAAATCAACCACAGAGTCGGTGGCCGAGTTACACGTGTAAAACATGTAAGGGACTACTCTAAACAATCCACTTAAACAACCACTAGCGTACTTCCGACTAAAATACCTTCCTTTCCAAATGTTAATTGAGTCAGGTTTCAAACAAACATAAGCTAACCAAATAAGGAAGAAATTACTAAATTTTATTTAAAAGCAGTAGTGGAGTAATTGAGCTATTCTAATAATTCATCTCTAATAACTCCAATTATTAAAAACTGAATCATTGGGTAATGCAATTCTAGCATTTTGATTGGCTTAGGCGTTATGGTATATGAGCTATTATACCATGCTCTCCATATATGGTCGGTGTAAGCGTCAGTTTATAATTGGAAGGTAGCTGAGATTTTTTTTCGCGAAGGATAGAACGGCGCCCGAAGCAAATCGTTTTAATTCATTTCTTAGAATACTAGAAATGCAATTTCAACGAACGAAAAAAGACAAAAACAAACAAAAAAGCCACAAGAGCTTGTTTGAAAGTTTGTCGAAAAACACATGGAAACACATGGAACTAAAGTACCTTGACCAGCTACGAAAGAAGACAAGTGTTGTTTCTTCATGATCGCGAAGCCATTCGCCGATCGAGTCACTCGCCGATAGATACCTGCGGCTTGTTTATCCGACATCAAGAATATAAATCACAAGTAACCAGCTACAAATACAGGCTATGCAGCCATTCACTAGAGCAATCGAGACGGCAGTATAGCTTCTTTTCTCCTTCAGCAAAACCAGCTTGTGGCTTCAAACAACTTCATAACAAGCGACCGAGGTAATAGTTTTCCACCGTTGTTCTTACTTTTATAACTGCACCGAAAATCCAAATTCACAGTAATTTCGACGGCTGTCACCTAGAAATTCTTTTCCTTCACATTATCTGCCAGGTTTTTTTAGCTGTTCTGCTGTGTAAAATCCTAGAATCCCGATGAGTTTTTAAAAAACTAATGTTCATCGCTACAATGTTTTGATTTTTCATTCATGCAGCCCAGCCGAGTCCGTTCGCGCGTTGACAGTTTTGATAGACGTGTGACATGTGAATAGCGGAAGTCCCTTGTCTTTTCCGGTTTGTTCTAGTCGGGGAGATTCAACGAGATTTTGTGGGTGTTTTTAATAAAACAATTATTGCACTCGCGCTTGTTGGATATGAGATGATTATAGCCAACTCGGCGCTACGCGCCTCGTTGGCTATCTATCATCTCATATCCAAGGCGCCCTCGTGGAATAATTGTTAAATAGTTTAGCGTTTCGTTCCGACGCAGCAACACAGCCTCAGTAAAAATTAAACCCTCCATTATTTTAAACATTGAATTCTCTGAACATTCCAATCGTATTTCTGTGTTTCCGCTCTAGAGGAAAGGATTACCATCAAGGGTCGTTCTTGAACAACTCATTGTAAAAGGGAAGGTAACAGACTTAGTGTTTCAACATAGACCCTAACATGTATTTAAGATTAACTCTGGCATTAATTAATATAATAAACTGTCACTTGTATAAGAGAATGCTATTCGTTGCAGATTGACCACGAAGGCTTCAACTTTTTAGATGTAATAGAAGCCTTATGGCCACATTTATGGGCTACTCACCAGGAAGACGACGACATGTATCATGTGGTAGGAACTCAACTCCTGCAATGATTCGTTCAATAGACAATAAAATTCAATTCCCTAAATCTTTGTGCGAATAAAGTATACGTAAGTTCTGCAATTACATAAACTGTACAATAAAATTACAAAGAGGAAACAATAAATTCTAGTCAAAGCTACGAGCCTTTCTCTAAACTTCTGGTCATTATAAGGTTTTTCTCCCGTCTTTCGGCCATTAGGGAGCTTAAACTAAGTCGACGGCGACGTTTACGAGGACATCAAAAAACCAATAGGTTTAACCACAACTTTGCACGTGCATCATGCTTTTTGATAATTTTTTGCCGTCACTGCACAACTAAGACGTGAAAGTGCCCACTTCCACATTTTTAGGAGGGCGAAACTGCACAACATAACGACTTTCTTTTCCGTTTCCTTAATTTCGATATGGGCTTTAGGATGTAACTTAAGAAAACGTTACTAACATTTGACGAAGTGAGCGAGATGGAATAAGCGCGATAAATTTTGAAGCAGCGCGAATGCACTTTAAAGTGACGTTTTCGTAGCCATCGTCGTCATTGTTGCCTGAGCTCCTAATTTTTTGAGCGGGCGCAGGAATTTGACGGGGAGTAAAATTTCGTCACGTCGCTTACGAAGTTTGATTGGTCAGTTAATTAGCTTTTCTTCTCGTTCCAAATATAGTACTTGCGAACTATGAATATTTACGAGCACAGATTAGAGTTACATGTTTCCAGCCCTTATGAGTTTCTCTTAGCTATCTAGAGCAGCACAGATCACCACCCTCTGTGAAACGAAACTAAGAACACTACCCCGACCACGAGTGGGTGTTTTACTAACTCCTAAGAGAAAGGCCCGTAACCACCTCTCCCATAACCATCCCGTCACAACTAACTACCCATGGCTCTCCAAGATGTCGAAATACTTGTGAACTCCCACGCCTCTTCCTTCATAGAGACGAAACACTACCCTCAAGAGTACAACGAGAAATAATTTCAATATTTCCCGACAAAGCCAACAAGGGAAAATCATTGTATGTTCTATTTACCGTATACTCAGTCTAAAGGGCTTCAATGTTTTGCCATTTTGCAAATCATTGACATGTACGGTTCAGTTTATAACAAAGTTCAAATTCTAGGATGCTTCTCAAATGAACCTTGTTCAATTTTCGAGTCTTCTAAGTTCTGTGATGATGATGATGATGATGATAAACTTTATTTCAGTGTCAGGTCTTCTAGCTGGCCATGTAAGGCCTACTAATAAGGGACACTAAATTAAAATACTATCAGCTCTAACTAATTAATATATATAAAAAGTATACATATTTATTATATAGACACGAGTGTTTTAATGGAAAATATACCACTCGTAGAGTGGTAGAGAAGATGGTAATTAATTCGCCTCTTTTAGAGAAAACGCATAGAAGACGACCCTTACGAGGCATTGCTTTTGTGGTCCGTACGCAGCAACATGCAGAAAATGGCCCTTTTTATGTGGGAGCGAGGGGAAAAGAATCTGGCGCGTGCTCTCATAGCAGGAAAGGTGTACAAGCTGATGGCAAAGTTGACACACCGCGATGACGCAAAGGCGGATGTCACTGACGAACTCACAGCGAATTTCGAGTAAGTGTTGCGAATATAACCTTGACATTTAGAGTCCGCTGATAACTAATAATAATAATAATAATAACAATCATATTAACAGTAATAATTGAGGCAGGCTCTAATGTTTTCCATCTGTAAATCTGTGTCAACAAGGTCTAGCTGTCCTCTTCTGGATCTTGAACCTCTCAAGAATAGTATCGCAGAGCGTACGATGGCGAAAGAGACTTTAGTTCTTATCTAGGAAATTGCGGTTTAGTAACTTTCTGCCTAATTATTTGCGATCAGCTCCGCAAGTCTGTTGTGGTACTTAACACACTCATCCACCATTCCACCTGTGGTCGTGAAAACTAGGGGAGTGAACGTTCCCCGTTCGATCTCCATTACTTTTTCCGCATACTACCTCTTCTTCTCGTTCTCATGCTTCTTGTAGATCTCCTTAGGAGTCAAGTCTCTGTAAGAGTCTGCATTAGGGTGACACACCCGAACATCGAAGAAGGCAGATCTCTGTCTCTCCCAAAAAGCCTCGAGCATGAATATCCAAACGGGCATCAGGGGCTTTATTAGCGCCATGATTTAATGTCTCCCCAGTGACCTCCTGAAGGACGGTTAGCATTAGATAACATCGAGTGAAGCAAGATTGGACACCTTATGAATTTTACACAGCGCATTATTTTCATAATGGAACGAGACTGGAATGTAGAAAGAGGCTAGAATAGCTGAAAAAAACAAAACTACAGAGCACCAGTTATGGAGAGAACACGGTAGAGAGTTAAGCACAGATCTGCAGTGATTAGGGTTAAGCACTGAACTGAAAACGGTTAGCTTTCAAATATTGTAATGGGGTACGGCATATATAAGAACATGTATATTTTAAAAATTACTGGATTTGGCAGCTAGTCGTCGATGGTGTAGTGGATATGGATGTAGGCTATAAAGCAAGTGACCCGGGTTCAAAGCATCACACTGGAGTTTTTCTATTTCACTTTTATATTACACAGTAAAGTTGGACTTAAGTTGTTCTTATATTCTAATTCGCTACCCCGCTCAAACGAATATAAAACATTTATCATGTAACAAGCAACCTCAATTGGGGTGTGTCAACACGAGCCGTGTGCGACCCTCTTTATTATGCCTTCATCAACAGAATGGATGGAAATAATACAACAAACAGAATGAAAACTCGGAAATGTAAAAAATTACAGCAAGAAAAACAACCCAACAAAATGGTCTAAACTATGCTCGTATAACAATCATTCAGTAAACATACAAAACGTGCTAAACCTTTCATATAGCAGCATGCAAAAAACTACGTCTAAGAGAAACCCCTGATCACTGGGTATTTAATTTTGAGGGCGTGGGGACGGTCGTAAGACGCGAATGAATATAAATGAGAACAACTCAAATATATATAGCCTACCGTTAATGAAGCAACAGAACAGCTTACCATGTAACACCCCAAAGAAAAGGTTTCATAACCCATGATAAATACATTTATATTCTAATTCGCTACCCCGCTCAAACGAATATAAAACATTTATCATGTAACAAGCAACCTCAATTGGGGTGTGTCAACACGAGCCGTGTGCGAACTAAAAGAACCGGAAATACGGAAAATTAAATACCCAGTGATAACGAAACCGACAACAATGAATGAACACTATCCTTAATGTAACCGTCTTTTGCCTTGTCTGATTTCCAACGGCCGTGTCTTTTAAACAATCTGTCAGGCACTCGAGCATTAGCAGCAGCGGAGGCACCTCCGGCCCTAAGGCTATGGAGACCGTAGTCTTGCTTGGGAAGGCCGATGGAATCGAAAGCGCTAAGCACTATCTCCCGCTCTCTAGTATAAGACAAAGGAACAGACCCGCGCAATTTATAAGCTCCGGTACTGCGAAGAAAAACAAGAGGACGAAAAATGAACTCTTCGCTGTCTGCTGAAAAAGAAGCGGCCACAAAATATCGTTGAACTAATAAATAAGGACATGTATGCTTGAAAGTTTTAGCGATAACAACCCAAGCCCCATCCCTGTAAACGTCAGTCTTACTTCGATGAACAAAGATTCTCATAAAAGAATCTTCAAACTGAAAATCACACCTGCGTAACTGAACCAACTCGTTAAAGCGAAAAAACCCTGCATAACCTAAAACGCACAAAGTAAGCACTCGTAAATCAGACAAACTAGCTGAAGACGATCCATACTTAGAAAATAAAAGCTGAATAGCCTCGGGGGTCACAGGCTCTTTCTTTTTAACAAGGATACTGAGAAGCTTCTTAGCAGATTCTATTAAAGGTAAAACTAACGAGGAATTACAGGGGTCGGGTAGACCTGCCAAATCATGTACCCACTTGAGCCCATAATGGACTTCGTCAATAGTACTGCAAGAAGCAGATTCTTGAATCAAGCTAAGAAAGAACAATGAAACGTGCACACTAGAAGGGGGAAATATAACAATTTCTTTAAACTGAGAAGCCCATTTTCTCCACGTATTGAAGCCCTTTTCGTACTTCCTCGCGGTACTGTCGGCTTTGGATTTAAGAAGAACTGCGGGGAGATCTTGAACCAGTGCCCGGAGTCGCCCGTCTTCAACCTGTTGAAAATTAGGCTGCAAGGCATCTTTGAGAACTTCTACGAGGATAAGAACAAAAATATATGGCAAAATTCCTCAATACACGCACTGGGAGTCAATACAGCAATAAAAAACGGACGCTTGGTAATGCCTCTGACCGGATGCAAAACTATTTAAGGCCGAATGGGCCAACTCAAAAACCACGGTAAACAAGCCACTCGGCGAGCTAGTTTCATGCGAAACGAGGACAAATGAACCGACGAGCGGAATAAAAAAAAAACACGTGGGCCAACATAAAGCCACTCGGCTTGAAAAAACTAAGGCCCCTTAGCGCCAATTCTGACTGCCAGCACCGCGCTGTTAAACCTGTCTGAACCAATGAGTGAATCTTTGTAACACTCGAGGGCAAAAATCCCTGAGGGATCGGGAAAATGAATGTACTCAAGGATGTACGGTTGAAATTGAATTGCATTTGCGAACAAGAAAGGCCAAAACACATTAGACGGCCAATAAGGGACGACTAAAGTACCAACCGCACCGCATACAAGGAAATGCTGAACCGCCCTAGTAATGCAGTGGACGGGAGGGACTAGCCAATTTTTCTCTCCATTCCACGAGATTGAAAATACGTCAACAGCTTCAGTGCCGGGTACGCGAAACCTAGAATTGAATCTGGGAAGATGGGCGTTGGCAGCATTCGCAAACCTGTCGACTGTATGTGGGCCCCAAAGGCGGTCCAAGTGTGCGAAGAACTCGGGGGTTGTATACCAGTCATCGAAGTCTACAATGTGGCTAATCGCATCAGCACAAGCATTAAGTTCCCTGGGAACCCACTGGGGAATAAGTGTAATATTGTAAGTTCGACAAAAATAGAAAATATCAAGCGCAATAGAATGCAATTCTGCACTAGGACTCCCTATCTCCACAACACGAACGGCCCCTTGGCTGTCAGAATGCCACTTTACACACTTACCCCGAACCGAGGCTTTGAACGCACTTAAGGCGAATTGTATAGCCTTAAGTTCTCTCCAGGTAGGGCTCTTAGCTGCTTCGCAAGCAGTCCACATACGATGGGACACCTCATTAGAGCCCACAACAAAAGCCCCGCAGGCGACGTTGCTAGCGTCCGAATAGCTAAACAAAAGGGGAGCATTATAAGGCAAAATAGGTCTCGTATTAAGACTAACGATATTGTTTTTCCAGAAAAATATTTCAGAGAGGCAATCATTATGAAGCCCGATATTAAAACGGGAATCCCAACTACGGCGGGATTCTATGACCTTGTAAAGGAAACGGGTTTTGAGACGAGTCAGGTTACCCAAAACTGGCGACATGGACATAACATGACCTGCGATAACGGCACAATCCCGAGCCGCAACATAAGGTGCGGATAGAAGAAATTTGTCAATCAGAGCGATAAATTTGCAAATACGTCTATCGGTAATAGAAATGGTACCGATAACTAAGTCCCAGTTTAAACCCAACCAAACAAGCACCTGAGTGGGGTTCCATAGTGATTTGGCGGAGTTGGCAACAAACCCCGCACTGCTTAAGGATGATTGCACAAACAATGAATTTTCCTTGGCC